CAAATTCCAATAATAGTGTTAATGACGACGTCCGTTCAATAGATTCCACCTCATTGCACAGCAAACACAGTGGCAGTATTTCGGATTTAACAAGAAAATCAGAACAAGGTAAGTTGTTTTTCGATTTTTGTTTTTTTTTTTTTGTTTACATTATTAAATTTCTTGTGTTGTTTTTATGATAAATGTCATGTTAAAGTATTTATTGCCAGATTAAATATGTAAATATTATATAAATTCATGAAAATACTTTAACATTAACACACGAAAACAAAAAAAACTGTAAAATAATACGCCACCTAATGCGTGTTTAACTTTTTATTTCTCTCTGTGTAACCTCCTTTTTAACCAACACAGCGTCCTCTGTTTCTGTTTCTTCTTCTTCTTGTACTTTCCCTTTAACCTCATAGATAATGATGGCAAACAAAGTGAAAAGTCTGATAAATCTTCAATGTCCTCAATAAACTCGCATCACTCACAAGCGCCACAACAGCAACAACAACAACAGCAGCAACAACATTCTCTACTTCCTCCTCAACAGAGTGATGATCATCATCAACAGTCACAACGCCATTTACGCCATCATTCGGAAAGTCCTAGCTTCAAACGTGAACCTCAATCGGATCATGAAGGTGATAATCATTCTTCGATTCCTCATCATGCTCATCATAATCGTGCTCTCAGCGATAGTGGTCGTCACTCATCGTCGGATCGTCTTAATGATCGTGATCATGATGATGAACGTCGCTCTAGTGATCGCGAAAGTAATCGTCCTCCTTCGTCTCATGCCGAAAATAGTTTGGCTGTTGCTGCTGCTGCCGCGGCGGCTGCAGCTGCTAATGGTAAAGGCCAATGGCAATATCCGGGCATTGATCTTATGGCCACTGGGGCTTTTTGGCAAAATTATTCGGGTGAGTTTATGAAATTTATAATTTGGTTTCTTAAATATTGACCAATATTTTTCTGAGGAAACTTTGGAATATAGAATAGACTATAGTCTAAACAATAGAATAATCTATAGTCGGGGCTATGAAATAGACTAAACTCTAGACTATACTCTATAGTTTGGACAAAAAGAATAGACTATGGTTTGGACTATGGAATAGACTGTAGTTTAAACTAAAGTCTGAACTGTAGACTACAGTCTGAACTATAGAATAGACTAAAGTCTGGACTATAGAAAAGACTATAGTCTGGACTATAGAAAATACTATAGTCTGGACTATAGGAAAGACTATAGTCTGGACTATAGAAAAGACTATAGTCTGGACTATAGAATAGACTATAATCTGGACTTTAGGATAGACTGGACTATAGTATAGACTGTACACTAGACTATAGAATAGAACATAGTCTGGACTATAGAATAGAACATAGTCTGGACTATAGAATAGAACATAGTCTGGACTATAGATTAGACTATAGTCTGGACTATAGATTAGACTATAGTCTGGACTATAGATTAGACTATAGTCTGGGCTATAGATTAGACTATAGTCTGGACTATAGATTAGCCTATAGTCTGGACTATAGAATAGACTATAGTCTTGACCATAGAATATACTATAGAATAGACTGTAGTCGGGACTATACAATAGACTATAGAAGATACTATAATCTGGACTATAGAATAGACTATAGTCTTTACTATAAAATAGACTATAGAATAGACCATAGTCTAGATTATAGAATAGACTATAGTCAGGAATTTAGAATTGACTATAGTCTGGACTTTAGAATAGACTATAGTCTGGACTTTAGAATAGACTATAGTCTGGACATTAGAATAGACTCTAGTCTGGACTATAGAATAGTCTATAGCCTGGACTACAGAATAGACTATAGCCTGGACTATAGAATTGACTATAGCCTGGACTATAGATTATACTATAGTTTGGACTATGGAATAGACTATAGTCTGTTCTATAGAATATACTATAGTTTGGACTATGGAATAGACTATAGTCTGGACTATAGAATAGACTATAGTCTGGACTGAAAATTTGTTCTTTCTCCCAAAAGGAACTTTTCTTTTGAAGTACTATTTGTAATTCATTTAAACTTATTGGTGTTCTTCCCTTCTGTTTGTTTATCATTTCAGAATCTTTGGCCCAAGAAATTGAATTGGAACGTAAAACCCGTTCCGCCAATGCTGAACGTGATGTTAAAAGTCCATTGGCTGAAAGACAAGCGGCGGCCTATTACAAAAATTCCGTACTATTTGGTAGTGCAAATTAAATAAAAAAGGTATTTAATGAAAAAACTCTTTTAATAAAGGACTTTTTAGAACGAAAGAGATATAAAGGAGTTTAAGTAAAAAATCATGATCTCAAAGTGCAATTGTGGTGGAAAAAAGAGATTTACAAAGAAAGTTTATTGATTAAAAACAGAAAAGGACATTTTATTATAGCAAAACAACTAAATAGTCCCCCCAAATTAAAGTAGTAAAAGAAAAAAACTTACAAATATTTGCTTCAAAAAGAAAAAAATAAGAATTTTAGCAAAATATTAAATATAAAACTGTAAATAGAAAGTTTGAAATATTTTTAGTTTTTTTATAAAAAAGATTTTCAATAAATGTTTAAAATTGTATATACAGTTTTTTTAGGAATAGCTTAGAATTTTGGTTTATTAAATAAGTCTTAAAATTATGTTTAAATTTACTATAAATGTAAATAAAAAAATTTTTAATGCAAGACTTTTGTTTTTATGTTTTAAAATAAGTTTTAAGTGACACGCCCCCCTCCCCCCATTAACTCAAATTTTATATAAATTAGAAATTAAGTTATTAAAATTAATAATGTAAAGTAAGTTGTATGCAAAACCCCTTTAATAATGGCCTAATAATATTATAAAGAGATAAAATGTTAATTAGACATTTTAATATAATTACTTACTTTCAGTTTTTAAACAAATACTTTACTTTAATATAAAATTTTTTTAAAATATACTTTAAGTATTTTTACCAATAGATTACCCCTTAATAGGCATAACTCACAAATAATATTAATTAAAATAAGATTAAAGGTAAAATAAAAACTTAAAATTATACTTAAATAAATATTTAATAAATTAGGGCTTATTAATTTAGTTTTTAGCATTATTGTAGTGTTTTTAATATATTAAAACATATTTAAATAATAATTTTTAAAATAATTATATATGAATTTAAAAAAAATAAAAAACAAATATTTATAGTAAATAGTTTGGTATTTATAATGAATAAAAATCAAGTGAAAGTAATAAAGTCTTTGAAGCTGGTTTTGAGCTCCTTTAATAAATATGAAGTTTTTTTATTTTTTTTTTTTCAGCAAAAAGTACCAAATTTCTATTACGAAAATGGCTCATATGTACTAATTTTTAGTACATATTTTGGAATAACTTTTAGAGGTTTATGGCACTTTTGTAATATTCGGTATTTTTCTATAGGAGTTTTTCTCTTTAATTTTGATACTTTTCTTAAAAGTACCTTTTATTTAAGTACTTAATACTATCGGTAAATTTTTCCAGTTTTTTAAACAACATTTTCAAAGTTCTAATGAAGTTTTTGATAACTTTTGTTATTCTCTGTCTTATTTTGTTGGTTGGTACTTTTTTGACATTTTTGGTACATTTTAATGAAAACACAATTTCAAAGATTTTAGGAGGTTTTATAGTAGTTTTGGATACTTTTTGACTTAAATGGCTGTTTGGTACTTTTTGGTAATTTCGGTACTTTTCACATTTTTAGTCAAAATTCTATAGAATGTTAACATTTAAAGAAGTTTTCAAAGTTTTTTTTAAGACATTTAGGTATTTTTTTATTCTATTACGCTGTTAAGTACTTTTTTTACTTTTTTTAAGAAAAACTTTTGGTACTTTTTTTTAGAAAAACAAAGATCTAATGATGATTTAAGGGATTTATGTTCTAATTTGTTATTTGGTACTTTTTTTGCATTTTGGGACTTTTATAAAATTCGGACGAAAACACCATGTCAAAGATTTTAGACTGGTTTTTAGTAGTTTTTGGATACTTTTTGTAAATTGTTGTTTGGTACTTTTTGGTACTTTTTGGATTTTTGTTCAAAATTCTATAGAATATTAACATTTAAAGACGTTTTCAAAGCTTTTTTAAGGCGTTTAGCTATTTTTTATTCTATTTCGCTATTTGTTACGTTTTGTAACTTTTGGTACTTTTTTTTAGAAAATCAAAGATCTAATGATGATGGCATTTATGTTTTAATTTGTTGTTTGGTACTTTTTTGGATTTTTGGTACTTTTATAAAATTATAAATTAGAAGGTTTTTTAGTAGTTTTGGCTACTTTTTGTCTTAAATTGTTGTTTGATACTTTTTGGTAATTTTGGTATTTTTCGCATTTTGGTCATATTTCTGTAGAATAATAACAAATAAAGTAGTTTTCAATACCAATTGAAGTAGTTTTCATAAGACGTTTATACTTTTTTTTATTATTTTTCGCTGTTTGGTACTTATTGTAACTTTTGGTACTTTTTTGAGAAAATTAAATATCTAATGATGATTTAAGGCATTTATTTTTCTAATTTGTTATTTGGTACTTTTTTTTTGCATTTTTGGTACTTTTATAAAATTTTGATGAAGACACCATGTCAAAAATTTTAGACGGCTTTAGTAATGTTTGGATACTTTTTGTTAATTGTTGTTTGGTACTTTTTGGTACTTTTCGCATTTGGATATTTCTGATTATATTTCGCTGTTTGGTACTTTTTGTAACTTTTGGTACATTAGATCTAATGATGATTAAAAGCATTTTCATTCTAATTTGTTATTTGGTACTTTTTGTTTATTCTGGTACTTTTATTAATTTATTCAGAATTCTATGGAAAAACTTAATTCTAAACATTTTCTAAGATTTAACGATGATTTTCAGTAATTTGTAAGTTTAAATTTTTGTCTTATTTTATTGTTTGGTACTTTCTTTAAATTCTGTAAAAAATCATTATAAAGATTTATAGTGTTTTTAGTTATTTTTATCCATCTTCCATGGTACTTTTTTATTTTGGTACTTTTCTTATTTTTAGCCAAAATTATCAAAATAATATAATTTTTTGTGTTATTTTGCGGTTTGGTACTTTTAGTAAATCTTGGTATTTTTTAAAAATTCTCTAGAAGAAAGTTTTTTTTTAAGTATTTACTATAAGCTAATGATTTTAGTTCTAATTTGTCATTTGGTACTTTTTGTTTATTTTGGTACTTTTAGTAAACTTTTCAAAAATTCTATGGAAAAACTTAATTTTTCATATTTTCTAATTCGTTAGTAATTTTTGCTACATTTTATTCCATTTTCTTGTTTGGTACTTTTTGTTAATTTTAGTACTTTTCATCATTTTAAGTACTATCTCCAAAAGTTTAAACAATAACAAATTTTAAAGTATCTTTAAAGATTTTATGAGTTTTTTTTATTAGTTTTAAATATTTGATATTTTGATATTTTTCTCAAAATTTTTTAAATTTTTTCCAATACTTTTCTTTGTTATTTTGGCACTTTTGATAATTCTTTTGGAACTTTCTCAAATTTTTTTTTATATTTTCCAAAATTTAAACCCTTTTTGTTCATTTGGTACTTTTATTAATATTTGCAACTTTTTTCAATATTTACAAAGATTTAATCCACTTTTGTTAATTTGGTACTTTTAGTTATTTTTAGCACTTTTTTAAATTCTATAAAAAAATAACTTTCTCAAAACTTTTAAACATCTAACGATTTTTATTTATTTTTTTTTTGGTACTTTTTATATATTAGAACTTTTTCAAACTTCTATAGCGAGACACATCTTTTTGTAGTTTCTGATACTTTCTTTAGAAATTCTTTAGAAAAGCACATTCTTAAGTATTTTCAAAGATAATGACTTTTCATTACAATTTTAGTACATTTTTAAAAATTGATACTGTGTCTTCCATGCTTATTCCACATTATCTAGAATTTGGTACTTTTTTCCCCCATATACATATGTACAGATGTAAGTACTTTAGGTCGTTTTTGGTACTATTAGCAATTTGACTATAGAAGAAGACTTTATAAAGTAAGTAGTTGTACATCTCTAAAGATGTTTTAAAAGTTTGGTACTTTTTTTTGGACATTTTGTAAATAAAAAAACGCTTTTATAATTAGTACTTTTTCATGGAGAAGATAGTGGTTGGATGAATGGTGGGTTTCTTTAAGTCATGTTTAATAACTTTAGTACTATTTGCTACCTTTTTGAAAATATAAGAAAAAAGTACTTATATGTATTTAAAAAAGTACTTTTTTAAAATATTTATAATATTTCTGGAATACAAGAAAAATTCTTTGGAATTCTATTTTATATGGGGTTAAATTTCCAAAATCAGCTCGAAGCTTTATTCTAAAAAAACAAAAAAGTCACTTAAAAATTACAAAAAAACTAAAAAATTTCAAAATTGACTAAAAATGCATACATAAAACTGTCAAAACATTCTCTATTCATTATAAATATTTAAATGCAGTAAATTAAAAACAGCAACAACAAAAACATTAAATAACTAATTCTAAAAACATTTGCATATAAAGTATAGATTGAAAAAGAAAATATTAAAAACATCACTAATAATTAGTATCTATTACAACCATTTTACAATAACATAACATTTATAATAATTATAAATATTTCAACAATAACAACAAATAAGTAAATAATTTATACATATTTAAAAAAATAAAAATTAAACAAATAAATAATAAAACATGCAGTTATCAATGCTTGCTATTTAAATCAACAACAAGAACAAAAACAAATATTTAAAACAAAAAAAAAAAAAAAAAACTAATAATAGTAACAATAAATTATTAATAATATTACGATTATTATTATATTATTATAAAACAAAAAAATATGATGTAACTATCATATATTATTATTAATTATTAAAAATAAAATAAAAAAAAGAAATGAAAAACAAATAAAAAATAAATTATTATTAAAACAAAATTAAGAAAAGGAGTTTTAATTTTTATTAACGAAAAGTAAGAAATGTGGAACCCCAGACATGTAGTCTAGGGTCCATCTTGTAAACTTGAACTCATATTCATCTATACTATGATTAATTTCATTCCTCAAATGAAGAAGTTAAAGTTCAATATAAAGTTATTACAAAGGGTAGGGGTAAGTTCTGAAGGAATTTGAATTTGTACTAATGTTGTTTTAAATCCAGTCTGGATCCAGTTAATTCACCAAGGTTGAATATAATGCAGAGGAACATATTAATATAGACAGCTAGGGCCTAACATTTGTCGAAGAGCTGAAGATTTGCTTCTCTAACTAACACCCAACGTCTAGTTATTACTGTCATGCAAACTCGATTGTAAAAAGGCCTCATTACCTTGGCTCCTTTACATGTCTCTAGACTATTCCATCTATTTCAACACTTTTGAAGAAAGAAATTAATATCTTGGCATTCTTGCATTATCCGATCTATTATGATATGATAGTGTAAGAATTTGATGGAAAAAGTAAAATTCCCATATTGC